TTGTTTTGTTATGAAAACATTTGCACAATTTGGCTCCTTTGTTTATTTCTTTGTTATTCACCGAGTAGATCTATCAGATCTCAGAATTAGACACCACGGGGACCAGGTATTTGCAGTGCCTGCTCCACATTTGTGGAACAACCTTCCGCTTGAGATTTGGTCAGCTTCGAACCCAACTGCCTTTTGCTCACTTTTGAAAACATATTTATTTAAATAGGCATTTATCACTGGCTCTGACTAGGACACTTGTTTGTTTTTTCTACCTGTTTTACATTTGTGTGTTTCTGATTTTATTGAATGTTGGGTCTGTTGTTGGAATTAATGATTTTATCGAAGGTCTATACTGTATGTTTGTAACTCTGGTTACAAAGTGCTATATAAATGAACTTTTACTTACTTTGTTATATTTATGTATGTTTAAAGATTACATTATCATAACAATTAACCAAGATTTGTATTCCTTTAATTCGCATTAGTGATGCTGTGTGACTGATCTAATTAAACTAATGACTGATATGGTGGGGGCTTTTAATCAGAGCAGTGTTAATGCAGACTGAGAACTACAGGGTTGGGCAGATTAACATGGGATTACACCCATCTGCACCACCACTGTCTAAGAAAAGAAACCAGACGGAGGCTGACAGAAGACAACACAAGACAAAGAAACAACTTGGTCAGAGTAATCTGTTTCTCCGTTCTGATCAAAGCTCTCAGACAGAAGAAGACAGAGGGCTACAGTATAACTGCAGTTCAATACGTCTCGCTACATACAGTATGTATTTTATGTATTCACTTAGCTACATAAGCAGATACAACCTTTTCCTGAGTCGGTCACCACTCACTGCGATGGTACTGAGGACACATCTGGTCTGACAGTTCATGGGAAGTTTTCTAGACTCCTTCCCCGTAAAATGTGCGCCTGTATTTTTGAGTGCTGCTTAATCCCAGCTCTGCATGACAGTCCATATAAAGATTTAATGCTACACACTATTAGAGTGATTCTTGTTGTCCATAAGCTGTGTAAGACACATCATGTTCCATGATTTAAAGGTGCATCAGCTAAGATTGTACATAGTGTCTGATAAATCAAGTAAAAAAGCAACAGGACGTGGTGTCTCTCAGCTACCCTAACCACCCTCCATTACACTGCTACCTGCAGCTCTTCTGTCGCTATTCCAGCGTCAATCCTGTTTTGTCAAACAATGGTCTGTAAATTTTCCCCACCTAGTGAAGATTACTATACTATTAACCTTATATATTTGAGGTTAATGTATATAACCAGTCTTTCCCATCATAAGAACCTCTACTGGACTTCAGCACATGCACTCTACCACTCCCTCTCCCACACCTACGCCCTCTTTATCATTTATTAAAACTACTCTACCTAATTTCTTTTCAGCCATGACACTGGGTAGATTCCAAGTCTCTTATATGCACCAGTGTTTCTCTCATTTGTGTCTTTTCCATGTGTCTTAGTCCTGTCATAGTAAGTTGTGAGGAAAGGTTGTGCTGGGAGAAAGGAATCAAGGAAACATATTTAGAGAGACATCAGATGTTCTTTCCTCCATTCCTTCATGTGATGCATCCAATCACCAAGTGATTTCAATAAAGGGACATGTTGGTCCATAAAAGATTTCTGCAAAGAATGGTCTCATGTATCCTCACTCATGTCACGGCTGCTCCAGCATCATCCTTGATATAAAAAGCCCTGGGACATCATCGATCTTTTTTCAACTGAAAGAACCTTTGGGATGAGTGAGGATCGAGGATCAAGGGACAAACATATAAGAGACTTGAGATGCAGCCCACTAGTTGCACCTAACCACTCTTTGCCTCTGCCATCATGTCCTGTTTCCTAGTGGCGATGTAAAATATTGAATTCTGGTTGGAACACAATGTACAAAATGCAGGCTCCAGTTCAACGCTACACTATACTTTGGTTACTGCTAATGCAATGCAAAACTCAAATTACTCCCAAATTAAAATCATATTAATTCAACACAAAGGTAAAATCATGACCACATGTTGCCAAAACAAATACATTAGCTTTAGACACTAATGCCTCCAGAAGGAAGAACACTGGCTGCTTTTAACACTCTCTGTCCCAAAAGGCCAAACAAAAGTTACTTTTTCTTTGTCCCACTCAGTTTCATATTTATTTATCAACCTATCCTTTGTTTAGCCAGGAAGGTCCCATTGAGATACAAGATCTCTTCTTCCAGGGAATCCTCTCTGCGCAAAACAGCACAACCTCTTCTGTCTGGCAACTACTGTTTCAGACTTTTAGCTAGCGAGAGGTCTTTTGTTGCTGGCTGTTTGAAATGACTACACATGGTTCGAAAAATGCTTCTTATACCCTTCATTGTGTGACAGGCGGGGCTAATTTACAGACAGTGTTTTGACAACACAAGGTAGAGAAGCTGGAACAACAACAGTGGTGTAGTAGGCTGCAGAGTGCCATGAAGGGGGAGTATAGCTGAGAGACCCCACACCCTGTTCCATTTTCACTGGATTTATTAGACAAGATGTAAAATCTTAGTTAATGAAACTTTACATTTTTTAAATAAAGTTGGCAAAAAAAGTCAACAAATATCTTCATTTTTGCTATCTCATGCATAGTGATAGACAGACAGCCAGCCAGATAGATAGAGGTTGACTAGGTACACACACTCAGTAGAATGGTGTAGATTAGTGACTGACAAAGTATTGGGAGAGATAATTCCATCATTTCCACACAAAGGATTTCTGTTTCTTGCCAAAACAGCTGTTAACCACCAGCTGGCTCAAACACACATCCAGACAAGTACAAGGACAGGAGTATGATATGCGACCAAAAAGTGGCAGAAATGTGGGCTGTAAAAGTAAAATTCTTCTCTACACATATACATAACATATACATACATACACAGAGATCATCTATTCCAGCCTTCTGTGGTAAAGTGATGTTGTAGCTATCACCACAGTATTTCTGTGGAAAGTCAGAGCTGGTGAATTCACTATCTTATAAATTATTAGAAGATCTCATCCAATACCAGGAACATGAATATAAGACAACAACAATAATAATAATATTGTCCATCTTAATAGTAAGTCTCAAAGTCCAAAGCGTTATTATTGTTGTTGTTGTAGCCTTTATATTATTTGTTTGACATTATGGCTCTGACAGTAGATGTGAGCCTCCACACACACACACACACACACACACACACACAACACGAACCATCTAGCCTCACTACAATATCCTATGTCTACTTCCCTCGCTCGCGCACACGCGTACTGACACACAATTTCAGGTTGAATACAATAAACCTACCTCGAGTGTTTGTTGTTCCTCAAATCACCGGCGATAAGAATAACGTCAGACCGGCAGATAATAGGTCGGTCACGGTCGGGTTAATATCAAGCCCTTGGTGTGTGCTGCTCCGTAAATTCCTGTGAAAAGCAACGGGGTCGTTGTGCGTGAGGCGAATTCCCACTCTTCCAATTCCCCATTCGTTACCGGATATTAATATTGCCTTATCGATAGATGGATAGTGATATTATGACCATTATTTTCCTTCCTCCGGTGAGCACAAGCTGACGTCTAAAGACCTCCAGTGGCACGAGTCTCTACGGCTCGACAGGAGGTGATGTATTATTCATGAGATGGGCGTGGTCAATAACCTCCGTGTGCTCGTGCGGGCGCGCCGTGTGTACGTGTGCTACTAACAACACAATCCCCAGCTGTCATTATGAAGCGGCCATGAAATACAGGAGGACATCTACTGGTCACAGGACGAACTACACCCAATAACAACCTAACGACAGCAGAGACCAGGCTGTAAAGACTGTGGAGTGTTAGGTAGAAAAATAAACCCCTCAAATCAGATCACACTCCTTACACGAGTAAGGTTAAATAAAGACAAATACAACTACAACACTGTCAGGTGATAGTCTATATTTTGTGCAGCCAACTGATACACATTATAGTTTCTAAGATAAATTATCTATTTAAATTTGCATAAATAAGAACCACATTACACTCAGTAACCCAGAGTGACAAAAGCAAAACAGGTTTAAGAATTGTTTAAAAATGCAGTAAATATCAAAAAATGGAAATTTCTCTATTGCAAAAGTTTTCAGACCCTTAATTCGGTACAATGTAGAAGCTCATTCGGCCGCATTTAAAGGTTCAGTGCTTGGTAGGTCTGAATGGGAAGACTGTGTGTGCTCTACAGCAGATTTCCTTCAAGGAACTCTCTGTATTTGGCTGCATTCATCCATCCCTCAGTTCTGACCAGTCTCCCTCTCCCTGCTGCTGGGAAACCTACCACAGCATGACACTGCCACTGCCATGCTTCACCACAGAGGTTGTATTAGCAGGTGATAAGCAGTGCCTGGATGTCTGCCCAGAAAATTTGGCTTTTGTCTCATCAGATCAGAGAATCCTTTTCCTCATGCTCTCTGAGTCCTTTAAATGCTGTCTGACAAACTTTAAGTGAGCTTCCTTTTACTCAAAGCGGCTTCTGTGTACTGTGTCCTAGTGAGTAATGACTGAGGTTGGATGAGAGCAGGGGTAGATCTAGAAAATTTTGCAGGTGGTGGCCAGGCTGGTGCAGACTCAGAGGGGTGGCACATTTGAAATTCATGAAAAAAAATTTATTAAACCTCTAGTTTTATGCCATGATAAACCATATATCATTAAATTTTGTGTAAACATGAGACAGACATTGGTGTTCTCTTTAGCAAACTTGGGCTGTGCTCCTTATTTACTTCCAGCCGGAGACATTGCTGCTGCCCAGTGTTCCACCCACACACACACTGAGGTGAATCATGTCAAATACTCCACAACACAATTGGAGAAATGAATGCAAATATAAAATAATCGACAAATGTCAATTATAAAGTACCAGAAAAATGTTAGTTGTACTTAAGACAACAATTTGTCACCGTTTTTCATTTTTCATTTAATAATATGGACAAGCATCACGTTTTGACTCTAGGAGGGGTGGCCAATCAGATTCTGGGCCACTCCCTTGGCTCCGCCCACAGATGAGGGCTATAGGGTGCTTGGCTTGTCTCTATAAATGTGTTTTCTTGAGTCTTCTCTCCTCACATCTTATGTGGGTGGAACTAAGACTCCAGGAAAAGACAAGTGAGGGAAATATTAAGACTTTGGATGTACCCAGAGACATGAGATGACCTTTTCTCCAGTCCTTGATCTGAAGCATTTAATCACCAACTGATTTCTGATAAAGAGGCAACACTTCCACGAAGGATGGTCTCGTGTATCCTCGCCCATGACTCCTTCGCTCCTCGCTGCTCAGAGCAGGTATGACTGTCTAGCCGAGTGAGGATCGAGGAACGATCAAATAAGGGAATTTACCCAATGGCTACCAGAACCAAGAGACCATCCAATAAGACAAAAATAAGATAACATGAATATCGAAATAGATACAGCACTTTCCAGTGAATCACATTCTACTAATGAACACACATAGTCCAGGGCATACAAAGAAAATCATACAATCCTGTTGAACTCTGTGGATTGATATACTTTCCAAGACATCACTAAAATTGGAGTTACAAAACTGGTGTCTGACAGTAGGGACAGACTAACACTAAATGGTGAAGACTATAAAAACTAAATACATTTGTACATTTACAGATATGGTTTGGCAGTACCCGTCCACACTGTTCGAGATTTCAGTATTGGCCTCATTGAGCTATAACTCTGCAGAGCTCTCCAGCTCCAGTACCACAGTTTGCATTGGCTGAAAGTGTCCATCAACAGGCAGACGTGACATACAGAAAGTCTCTGATTCCTGTTTACATTTCTGATTTCAATTAAGGAAAGTATTATTATTTTATTGTGAGGAGAGAGAGGACAGAATTCTGGGGGCAGTTTGGGGAGGTTGGTCATGAAGATGAAATAAGAAGTCCTGGCACTGCACTGTATACAAATGTACATTTAGGAAAATAATCTCTTGTATCAGTTTGTCTCAGTCCAACAACTTCTCTCAGTTTTGTTAACATATATACAATATATTACACTTCATGATTCTGCACATTCTACCCGACTTTTTAATTAGGATGTCAGTGTGTAAGAGGAGTCCTCTTCTTCGGTCTGTCCACATCTATGTAGTATCTAGATAATCCTAATCCTGAGGGTTCACACAGTAGGCAAATATTTTACCTGTTAGTCATTTTAAAAAGGTAACAAAACAAACTAGAGGATCACATATTTGCATATGTTTAACTCCATCATGTCTGAACACAAATCAGTCCTCACAGCATAGTGTACCTGCTTTCAATCAGTCTCTCACCACCTATCTGCAACACTTGTATCTTAAGTCTCCTTCCCAGTGTAACCAGTAACCCAGAGAGTTGTCCTCCAGATTTCCTGTTATTAAGTGTAGTTCTTGCTGCTGTGTGTCTGCTGTGTGGATGGTTTTCTTGCAGTACCAAAGCATCGCCGCTGTGTGGAACAGGGCTGCTGAGTGTACAAGTTCAGGTGGAGAAGGAAGGAGAAGAAGATGTGCAAGGCCAGGAGAGGGGACTCGTTTAAGTGATGGGTTTGGATTGACAGCTCCCAAGCTCTGTTTTGTCCTCTACTCTGCCTCCTCCACTACCTTTTCCTCCTCCTTTACCTCCCCCTGCTCCATAGCCCTCCAGTCCCTCAGAGTTCTCCAGCATCTCCTGGATGAGAGGAGGCATGGAGCCAGGTATCTCCATCTTCAGTGTGATCACGCGCTCTGCTCCTGTAAGAGACAAAGGTGGAGAGAGAACATTTAAGATCTGGGTTGCCTCGACCATACAGCTGTTTCAACCACTTTTAAGCCATCACCAATAAAACGCAGCGCTTCCTGCACAGATGTTTCACATTAAAAGCCTTCAACTGACTCAAAACCTTCCCTGGTAGGTGATAAAAAAAAAATAATAATAAAGTAGCTTGTGATTTTTAAAAAATCATTAAAAGAAAATAGGATTTCTGTTAGAAAAACTCACTGTGGACTGTACATTAATACAGAGTTTATCACAACATCATGTAGAGTGTTAGGTTTGCATTAACAGTAAACAGCATTAACACATGAGAAAACAGTGAGGCTTCTTAATAAAACATATAGATGAACCATAAATAAAGGTCTTTAATGTAATCCTGTTCTTAGTGAAAGGCCTTTCTCTGCAGTCGATTTGCTGTAACTATTTCAGGATTTTATGGTATCTGTGCACATGCGTGTGTCTCACCCTTCACACTGATGCTTCTGAGGTCGGTAATCTTCATCAGTATCTTGGGGAACATACAAGGTTTATCTGGCCTCCTCCTCCTCACATAGATCTGTGCACACATAAAGACATGGTGGAAAGGATAAATGTGTGCTACAATATATGGTTCAAATATTTCCTCTATAGTGTTATTAAGCAGTAATACTTGAGAGCACTGGCACTTTCACTTCCTGTTGTGGACGCCCTTCAACTTTGTCTGCTGGATGAATGTGTGTGTTCTATAGCAATAAATGTCAAACCTTCAGGGCTTCTAGCATTGGCTCTTGAAGAACGTCCACCTTGTCTGACTCCTCCAGATCCTGACGGTCTGCATGTGTGCACATACACGCACACAGACAAAAAACACATGATACACAGCCAATAAGACAGGATGTATTTGTCATTTATAAACTATAACACTAAATATTTAGAGCAGGACACCATACAGCCCTTAGCACAGAAGGTCCTGACATTAGCCTACATATTTAAAAGCACAGGTTTGGGATTTTTCAAGTTTTTTTCAAGCCTTTTTACAATATTAACACGCCCATATGTATGTGAGAATAGGTCTTCGTTTTTTTTGGCTCTCCATAGCAACCCTGAAAGTGTTTACAAAGAATGTGACTACACTGTGAAAAATAAATGGCAAAACACACAGCCCTTCTTTGGAAAAATGTACACCAACGTTCATGTGAGGCTTAAGCTGTTCCACTAAGCTAGTTTGTGTCGATATCTGTCAAAGTTATAGTTTATCTAACACAAAGTTCCCTCTTTTATGCCCCTGGATAGTAGTTCCTAGCCTGGCTTTGACAGAAGAATATGTTCTAGTAGTTGCATGTAGGTTTGGTATTAAGTTGTGCTCGGACCTAAATTATTTGCAGTTTGATTTTGGGGACACCAGGAAAACCTGCTCTGAATCTGTGCATGGATTATATTTGTGCTTGTGTGACATCTGAGATCATCTTTTTCTCCTCTTTATTCCTGCCCCTATCTGCGCCTTGTACGCAGCAGAACATAGTGCATGTCTACATTTATCCATGATGTTCTGAAAATGTGCAAAACCATTTTACAGATTTTACCTCAGAGACTGTGAAAGGACCAAGTTGTGGCTAATCGAGGACAAAATAAACAGAAATACATTTGCTTGCAAAGCTGAGATTTACATGCAAGTGGAGCCCATTTCCATAGTAGGCGAGGTGCTGTGGGAGAAACCGCACAGCTGTACCATCACCAGGCAAACAGACAACAGCTGACGAGGGGCTAAGTGCAAATAAATACATAACGTGTTGTTATTTATCAATGAACCAAACTAAAGATACCTGGGTGTAAGATAACGTTACTAAAATTACACATTTATGTGAGTAAAAAGCCAATTCTGATAACAGCAACTAGAAGGTATCCCTCCACCACAGCAAGGCAAGGAACTACTATTCAGGGAAACAACAAAAGGAAATATGTTTCAAATATACTCCATCAATCTTTCTCTGAACTTTGGAGTGTATTTTTGTACAGAACGAGGGCTGCATTTCTCCCAGTGTGGCCGTACTTGAGATGAAAAGCTTCAGGGCTGGTGTGGAGAGCAGAAAAGGCGACAACATATGGACACATCAACATTGTTTTAAGACCTACCTGCAAAATGCCAACTATAACCTTTAAATTTATATACATTCAAAGGTGAATTTGCTGTTTCAGAGAGGCATGCTGGTCCAGCAAAAATACTCAGCACGATAACAGTGAGTAAAAGAAAGACTTGGTGGACACACACATGCTGGGTTGAAAGGCAGGAGACATTGTTGGACATTGTGGGTTATGTGATTATCTTCCCCACAACAGCACTAACAAGCAACTCTACGTGAATTATTTAATTTCATACTGCTGAGAAACTACATGCAGTACCTCCACAGAGCAGGCAGATGGCACTGAGCAATCCCGTCTCTGCATCATCCATCTCCAGCGGGAGCAGCTGATTGGCGAATGAGAACACCAGGTCTGTGAGAGGTCCAAACCCAGCATTGTGCATCTGGGTGCGGTTCAGAGTCAAGCCGTCAGAGAAGGTCATGGTGTCCTGGTCTGGAGTGTAGCGCGTGCAGATCCTCAGAATCTTGGAGAAGGGGACATGTAAAGGAGACTTTATTCACAGCAGTACATTCTCTCATGCAAGGGAAGCATCTGTCTCCTTTAGGAAGTATTAAATATTGACTGACAGCAGTGTTGAGCTCACCAGTATGTCAAGGCAGGCAGCTTTGAGGAGGGTGATCTGATCAGCAATGGTTAATGTTGTGAAGCCGGGCAGCTGCTTGGCAAACTCCACCGTCTTAATGATGCATTTGGTGGACAGTTCAATGAACTTGTCCCAGAGGCTGACATCAAGCGAGACGCGGTGCTCGGAGCTGTTGCTCTGCAGATTGGGGCCACGGGAGGAATGCAAAGAGACCAAGAGAGTTTTTTTTTTCAAGAAAGCTGACAAAAGAAACCTCTTTAGCATTAGCTATACTTGGACATTCATTTTGTGTTCTTTCATTTACGTATTTAGAATTTTTTCATCTGCATTAAATCATACCTAACAATGACCACTGACATTTAAGGTTAGGTTTATTCACTGAGTTAAGTCATGAGACAATACAGTACTGTGTGTCTGTGTGAGTACCGTAGTGTATTTCCCCAGCTGACACAGGGATGGAAATGTGTCCTGGTGAGCCCGGCGAACTTGTTCAATCATCTGCTCTGTATCTGGTGAGAGGACGTAGGTCTCTGGCTCCTCCTGCCTCTTCTCCTCCTTCTTCTTCTTCTTTGTCCTGTCATTTCGCACTACTGATGGTGCAAGAAAATATGGGAAGATTTAGCTCAGACATTTAAGCAGTAATTTGCAGCGAATATTTAACATCTTAAATCAAGTATCAGGAGGCTACGTAAGCTTAAAATCAACACTTTAAAAAAATGTTAGGAGGAGTACTACTAAAGCCTTGGAAAACAGTTGTATAATCAGGCCTGCAAACTCAAATGGGACGAAAGAGGTGTCTGTCTTTATGCCTGCACCAAATATCTCTGTTTGTCCATGTGTAATTTTTCTTTCTCAGTCACATCTGGCTTGTTCCCTGGCAGGTCCAACCCCAGGGAGTGAAATGGATAGTGTTATTTAACAGCACCTGTAGCACACATAGTAAACACCACACAACAGAAGAATCATTCAGTGTAGAGCAGCTGATGTCACGCTAGGAAGAGCTGCCCTTTGAGACAGTCCTAGAGTTTACAGAAGTATTAGGGGAGGCAGAGCCTTTAGCTATCAAGCTCCTCTCCTGTGGAACCAGCTCCTAGTCTCAGTTTAGGAGGCAGACACCCTCTCTACTGTTAAGATTAGGCTTCAAACCTTCCTTTTTGACAAAGCTTATAGTTAGGGCTGGCTCAGGTGACCCCGAGCCTTTCCTTAGTTATGCTGCTACAGGCCTAGGCTGCTGAGATCCTCCCATGATGCTCTGAGTTTCTCTCCTCTCCTCACTCTCATGTATTTATACGCCACTACTGCATGTCATTAACTTCGTGCCTCCTCTCTCCCTTAGTGTGTCCTCTCTCTCTCCCTGCACGTTTCTGCAGGTAGCTCTGGATCTAGAGCTGAATGTTTCTGACGAGCAGTCTGATGTTTGTTTGTTGTGTCTTGATGCTTTTCTTTTCTCTCTCTCCTGTATCCACTCACCCCAACCAGTCAAGGCAGAAGACCGCCCACCTAGAGCCGAGGTCTGTTGGAGATTTTTCCATTAAAGAGTTTTTCTTCTCTACTGTCATCAAGTGTTTGCTCAAGGGACTACACAAAAGCCACTTTAAAGACATGCGGCAGCTGCTTAAAATTTGCCAAACAAAATTTAAAGGACTCTGAGAACATGAGGAAAAAGACGTTCTGGTATAATGAGACCAAAACTGAACTCTTTAGGCAGAACTCCAGGAGCAAGGAAACTGTAGCTCAACAGCAACACACCTAGTAACAATATGTAGTCAGAGGATGTGACTGGCTTTGGTGAAACCAAGTGCTCTTGGCTTGAGGTTGAAGACTATACATTTATAACTGAAAGCCTGATTTTACAAACTCAGTACTGAAAGGCATTACATTTATTTAACAGGTAGAGAGAGTCTAAGGAAAAAATTAAGTAATAAAGAACATAGCAATTTAATTTTAGTGCTTCACACATAATCAGGGACTACAGTGCAATATACAGTATTTCTGCTTATGGGGTGTCAATTTTGACCATTCCTGTTGTATAGGATAGAGTTAGAACTGTGTCAGTGGTTGGACAACTGAGCAGCGGTCACTGCCATTACAAGCCAGCTGGCCAGCCACTGGTTAACCTGAACAAATACAATGCAGATGCCGTGTGTCAAGCCACTTATCTGCTTTTTGCTTGGGTGAGGATAGAATTCCAGGAACGCTTTGTGTTAACGGTAGGTTAGGTCTGGAAAATGGCGTTGCTTAATGTGGGGCTCTGAAGATATATGACAGCATGGCCTGACCCCCCTCATCTTTGGGGGCGCATAATGGGTAAACATCATTTAACTCGCATACTGAGCTTTCATATGAATTCTCACCCATTCTTTGGCACATTTAATTGCGTATTACTGATCACTATACAGCAACTGGCTCTCCTAAATACCCAAATATTATGGAAACTGCTGGACAACCCCATTAAGATCTGAAAAAGAATCTCTGAGATTGATCATGCCGAAGACTGGATAATACACTGAAAGTTCTATGTTAATGTTCAGTTCGGTGAGGGGCATGTAGTACCAGAGAATGGCCACCAGAGGGAGAACATATCTAGGTAAAAACATCACTATCTTGGCTGAGGAGAGCACAGAGCTACTGCTTACCCTGCTTAAAGAATGTGCCACTTTGACAACAAAGCAAATGATAAAAGAACATATATATGTCTCTCTCCATACACAGAGAGAGAGAGGAACTGCGTCTACAGTACATGGTGTACTCACACTCCTTGGACATGCCAACGTCGAGGCATTTCTGCAAACGACAGGACTGACACCGGTTTCTCGTCACCTTGTTTATGACACAGACTTTGTCTCTGTGGCATGTGTACATCATATTCTTCTGGATGCTCCTCCGAAAGAAGCCCTGACAGAAAGAATGTGAGCCAATGAATGAAATGCAAAATACAACATACTGAAAAACATGCTCTCTACTTAAAGTTACTTTACAGTCAAATTCTTTGAGAGCTAAGATCAACAGGTTTAGTTGATGGGTAGCAGGTCATGCATGGTCCAACAGAACACACATATGACCACAGAAACACACAAAACCATTGTTAATTTTGTCATAGGAATTTGATTTAAATGCATATTAGTTTTAGTCAAATGTTAGAAGTCTGTTGAATTTTGTTAGTTTTAATAAATAAAAACTAAAATTTTAGTCTAGTTTTTCACTTTTCTGCATTTTAATATTTACTATATACCTTCTTCATATTTTTTGTGTACAATTACCATGTTTACACATGCTGTTCCTGTCTACCCTGGGGTTCATGGAAAACAGTGTTTATTCATTGACACATTGTCCCTCTGTTCTGCAGAAGTTGGACATTTGTACTAACATCTCCTTCACTGGGTTCAGCCTGAGAGGTGAAGCTAATTGTCAGATAACATTCAAACACTGAGATCTCTGCAGTGAACACAGAGGATTTATTGGCTGACTGCTCACACTAATCCTGGAACTGACTCAGTCCTTAAGATATCTGGCTGAAAAGAACGTTAATATTACATCTGCATCCACAGCGTTTCAGGTTAATTTATCCTACTGTTTCATATGGCGTGCTGCTGCATTTTCCTAGTTTATCCCACCTGTTTGTTTGCATTATTCTCTGGACTGTAAATTCATTTGGTTCATAACCTGTTCCTTCCAAGAAGTGCTAACGTCAGATGAAAGAGCAGAACGTTACTGGGTGTAAGGCAGTAGCTTATCAGCAGCAGTGAAACACATCAAGTAGCTAATTCAACCTCTGAACAAGAGAGATTCTGGTAGGTGGAGGAAAGTGTTTTACTGATCAGGAGCTCCAGTTTGTGATTCCACAGGTGCAGCGGGTTATTAAGTTACTTCATGTCCATTCGAATTAGATGAAGCAAAGAGGCTTATAGATCCTAGGGGAGGTGTAAAGGTTGTGACCTCTTCACTAACACATTATAGCCCCAGTGCCACCAAAGGAACTTTCCCCAGAGAACAGAAACCTTCTGCAGAACTTCATTCCTCTACCTGTGTTTACACTGAAGGAGCCACAGTCTGGTCTGTAGCTCTACCCTGCAAAAAAGGTCCCTCGTCGGGGGGCAGAACTTTTTGAAGGTCCAACACTTTCTATCAGGGAGAGGCCTGCTGACTCATCAAACAGCATGCAGCATTTTACATGCAGCATTCTTACAACCCTGCTGCTGACTGTCATGTTTTGTTTTGTGTCTTTCTGGGGCTTCACCCCTGTTGTGTAAATCCAAATCACAATGTATTTGAGACACCTTTACCCCAGGGAATGTTCTTAGACTTTAGCTCCTGTGAACAAAAAGTACCAGGAACTTTCTGATGGAAACACACCATATGCAAATACATGGCAGTCTCTGTAGTCTGCATCTGTTCATGTACATGGGTGGCCCAGTTACCCAGAATGAGTGTGTTGTAGTGTTTGTGTGTGTTGTGTTTAGCTAATGCATATGATTAGCTGCCCACCTTGCAGCCCTCACAGGCACTGACTCCATAGTGGTAGCCTGAAGACTTGTCCTGGCACACAAAGCAGGGCTTGTAGATACGAGGTGGAGGAGGAGGTGAGGGGGGGCTAGGGATGAGCAGATCCTCCCCTGAACTTGTGCTCTCAGTTTCTATAGCTGCAGGAGGGAACAGAAGGAGGAAAAACAGGGAGATGTATATTTGGTCAGATGGGAATTAAAGTCAGGTTTTTCTAAGTACTTCTTATATAATGGCTTTGAGCTGAGGAAATATTTCTGAGGTCCTTTATAGAAAATGTCACATTATATCCGTTTGTGGTCTCAGAAACCCCAGCTGTAAAATGCAGTAAATATAATACATAACACATTTTCATTTGTCCACCCAAATCCCCAAAATCAGTCTGTTTTGAATTTTGTTATTGGTGTTTTGGAAAATCTTGCTCATAAGGAGGGAGTCAGACCTTCAAGGGGTCTCCTCAACCCCAAACAGAAGTAATGTCACATTCAAGGAAAGTCTTGTTTGTAAGCTTTGCCACTTCATTACAGAATGATAGAGTCTTGGTTTACATATAATATATCCATGAGGTCTGTGGTAATTAAAGCCAGTGTCAACAAAACACAGAGGTTAATGCTCATCAGGTCTGGGCTTGGTGTGGTGAAAATCCAGTTTATGATCAGATGGTTTTGGTCTTGGTCTGAACTTAATGGTGTCAAACTATGCTTGACTTGTGTGCTTCCTAGAACTACTCCCAAACAAAAGGCTTCAGTGACAGAAACTCTGACTTTATTGACAGTAAAATTAATCACTAGTGTTTACATTATAGTTGATTTTTGTATCTGGCCTCACTGTGTCAATATGGTCATTTTACTCTTGTTCACAGAACTGGCAAACTGTGATGCATTTTAAGGGTCATGACAGCAGGACCATCCATGACTCCTTCGTTACTCCCTCTGCTTCTTCTAACCTAACGCACACACTCCCCCTCCACATTTAGTAGTCATACCAGACATTCCAACATGCAGGAGATTCAGCTCCCCTCTACTGGTCTGCTCTGTTTACATAGCAAGGGAGAGGAAGCGAGAAAAATAAAGAGCTCTTCCTCAGTCATCATACCATCCCTCCATCTCTCCTCTATTTGCCTTTGCTCTCCTCTCACTGCCACACTAGCCAACAGTTCCCTAAAGCGCTGTCCGACCTCTTCATAACTTCTCTCTGTTCTTCTCCCCCATTTTGGCCTCCTATTTCCAAGTGTCTCTTACTCCTGCTTCATCTGTGTGTTTATTAATCTCTTCTTATTGCTTCCAGCTTTGTGCAGGACATGATGCAAGCGACAATGTGCCCAACAAAATGGCACCGCTTCTAGCTGTTGGTTTCAAATAAAGGCTGCCTTCTCCTGCAACAAAACTCAGCTACATCCACCAGAACCTTCTGGAGAGTAAATGTGATGAACTGTCCAGCTCAGAATATCTGCCGGCGCTGGAGTGTGTGCTTATATCAACAAGGAACCAATGCTGAGGTTGTGTCCAAATGCTGTTCTCCAGTGGTGCAGTTTAAACTACAGTTTGCTACCTGAGGAGAAAATACACTGCGCCTTGTTTACACTCAAGTTGTTGTCTGTCTAATGTTGCATTATGGTCAAAAGGAACAATAATTCCTTGCATGCAAGAACAAACATATGTGAAAATAACAATAAATCTGAGCCAGAGAGGACACCGGTGGCTTAGAAGAAGCATGGCCTCCCATTTGAATCAGATAAGAATGACGGTCTTTATATTTGTCCTGGAGAGCAAAGTAGAGATGTGAACTGGTCACCTTTTAACTTCATGAAGGGATGTTTGGATATTAATGTGTAAATGTTTGGTAGGCTACCTATAACCTTAAGTGTGTAACATAGAGGACAGCATGTAGGGCAGTTGATAGAGGGGAAAAAAGAGAAAGACCAGTAAGCAGGCCAGGAGAGAGAGGACAGGGACGCAGCAGTGGGTCAGAACAGAGACGACATGGACCAGTGCAGTTATCTTGGCCTCCAGAGCCCTTCAACTTGCACAAGCTCCCACTAAATTAAACATGACAAGGCGAACATGAATAACTTTATTGAACCCAAGTGATTTTAAACTGTTCCTCCACAAACATGTGCGGTTCTGACATTGCGCACTTAGATACATGCAGCGGCTGAAAGAAAAAAAAATCCATTTGAGCTGTCAGCCTACAAGCTTCATTTATCTTTAAACACCAGTGATCACCAGGCTTATAGAGGACTGGTAGAGAGCATCCTCACTACTGGTATGGTAACACCACACAGGCAGAGAGGAAGGCTCTTTAAAGGGTCATAAAGACTGCAGAGAGGATAATTGGGACTGAACTGCCTGCTATGGACACACTGTACACAAAGCACTGTCATAAAAGGGTGAAGAACATAATCAGGGATCTACGCCACCCAGCTCACTCCCTGCTCAAACACAAAAACTGCACCTACAGCCTCAGGCACAGCAGGGTGGACAGTATCATCACACACAGAACACGACTTTACAACAGCTTTTCCCTGCCACTACCTCACCAAGCATAATGACATATCCAGCTCCACCATGTGAATTACTAAGTGCGATGTTTGAATTCACTGTGGGAAATACTAACCTATTTTTGTGTATTGTGTTTTAATACTTTGTCACCTTTATGTAACCTTTTTATTTTAACACTAAGTGTTCTTTCTGGTTTTTAACTCCTTACCTGACTCCAAAGGAGAGCTGCACAAGAATTCCTATATGCCTAGACTGTCTGTTTATGCATAAATGGCAAATAAAAATCTTGAATCCTACTTAACACAGGAGCGATGTGTTAAAAATGATTGGCTGAACTCATACTCTGCAATCAGTCATGTTTACCTGTGGTTTGATTTATCTTCAGTTACCACCTCCTCTTTCTAACACGTTAATCAGATGTGGTGTCACCTGTGTCAATCATTAAACACACCTGGTGGTCCTCTGCCAATCTGACCCTCGATTGTGATTGGCCTATAGCCACATGATCATGTACCCAACTCACTTATGTGCATGCTTTTAATTGGCTGACATGCATGAGCTTGTATGTGGTTGGTTATTTTCTTTTAATATTTGTATTATTTATAGGACTTTATGTTGTGTGCCTTTAACAGATCCTGATGAAGGCTTCATGCCCAAATGTGTTGGGCATTATTAAAATTGCTCAAAACATTGCAAGTGTTGCTGGACTTTTTGCTTTCCTTGAGTTTTTTTCACCCACCACTATGTAGAGTGAATGAACGAATGAACAGCCATTACCACACTTTGAGCCTTTTATCTGATTGCAGTGTAATCCCATTCACACATACAGATGACAGAGATAGCGATAAGTACTGACATGCAACCATCCACCTCCTTCCTTTATAGCATGCACAGGTCAGACTTGGTCCAGTATCATGTGCGTCACTGTGTGCGTCTCCAACAGACAGAAAGAGAGGTCATTCGGTGCACAGAAGTGATGACTGGGCAGCTGAGAAGCAGATAGGAGGAGAAATAAAGAGGTGACTAACTTCCCCATTGTCAATGAGTCACTGCTTTGGATCACACCCAAATACATACACAGAGTGAACCACTCTCCCCAAACGCTGCTTACACATCGCTGAAGCAGCTGCTGAAAGTGCCCATGTGTGGGCTTTGACCTTTGAACCAGTTTGACACTGTTCATTCAACTCACGCACATGTGCACGTGCACACACTCACATACACAGAGTGAAGGCAATCCTGTCTTTACAGCTGTAATTTACAAACACTCCCCTCCTGCATCTATATGTCTCTCGCTCTGTTTCTCTCCAGCAGAGCAAAGTCCTTCTTGGGGTTCTTAGTAGGGCCACTGACATCACCATCTCATGGCCCTTGGGTTACTGTCTGACTATCTCTGCCATGGAGCAGCACTCTCAACTCACAGTAAGATGATCCTGCGTTTGTTAAATAGGGAATAATTATGTGTTAATTATACGCCTGGCCATAATCAGATCCAACATTCATCTTCTTCCAATAATGGAATTATTTAATTTGATCTGATTTCTGCTTAAGACATTTTTTAATGCTTCTTTTGGCTCTGATGCAACAGTCTCTCTCTGAAAGGTTATCACTTGTAATCTGGCTCAGCGTGCCTCCCACAGCATCATGGGATTGTTCTATATCATATGTCAATATCCATTCAAGTGTGTCCTCTGTATTTATGGGAGAGCTGCGGAAAAGAGGGATGCAGAGGTGCATGGCTGGGAAAAGAAGCTGTTTTTACAACAGTAGGGATGCACATGCTGCTGAAGTTGCAGCAATGAACATCACAATAATTGTGATTTATTTCTACAATGTCAAAATGCCCAGTTTACATTTTGGGGGTTAATGTACTCCACTGAAAATGCCTGAAATTGATGAGTTTGCATGTAGCATACCAGCAAACATACCTGGTAAGTGGTTTTCCTGAACCCCTGATTAATAAAGCATAAAAGTGATAATGACTTCATTGAACGGAGCTGAAGGCAGTAGCTTTTACTGTAAGTCTGTCTCATCTCTTTCCTGCAATAAAAGACATCTAAAGCTAATTTCCACTGACTTTGTTAGGTGATATTTTTGTGTAACATAAGTGCAAATGCAGCTTGTGTATGGTAACTATTTAACACAGATATGTGTTGGTAGTTGCATACGTTTACAGCTGATGATTGTAGCTAGCTAACTTTAGGAGATTTAGCAAAGCAGTGTTGTAGAAAAGCGTTTATATTTCTCAAAAAATACATTGTAAAATACACCAATATCATTTGGGAAATAGTGTTTTGACAGCCATACTGTATCCAACATGCTAGAGTGCAAAACCCAGGAAATTATCATTGCCAAATAGTTACCAAAATGTAAAAGATTACAATAATCAAATGTTTTACATTTAGAACTAGTTATTAGAATAATCAGTGCTAGTGCTGTATTAATACTAGTAGCAGGTGTAGTCATGTTTTCCTGCCTCCTGTCTGGTTTTAAAATGCCATATAAAGCAAAATTATAGTAACATTTAAATTTATAAAAAGAAGAAGAAACTTGTTCCCATAAAAACACAAACAGAAACAAAGTTAAATTCCCAAGCAATAAAAATAACATACCAACACACCATTTCTCTGTTTTTGCTGCTAAATCCTACTTTCCAAAATTGTCAGGGACGACCATTTTCTGGGTACTGCCTGAGAAACACTTTCACTGCATGAAAAAACACAGACCTGCTCAGTCATTTGAATGGGGAAAAGTGTGTTACACAGCAGGGACGAGCGCCACAGGGGGCTCTGCCAAAATGATGCAGCTTCAAACAGAAAAAAGCTGAATCTGTTTTAAGTTTTTCTGCATCACATGATGATGCCATCCAGCAAAGAGCTGTGATGGAAAATCACGTGCATGTTAGAGCGCCTTCCTCAGAGATTATTTGTAACTCTGGTTACTGTGGTGAAGTGGCAGCTTGATGTGGTTATTTTCTGTCATTGCTGTTCATGTGAGTCAGTGGTATGGTTGCTCATTAATTCAATTCAATTTTATTTGTATAGCACCAATTCACAACAACATCTTAAGGTGTTTTACACAGTAAGGTCTAGATCTTACAATGTAAGATACGTACCAGGCTCATAATCAACAGAGCTAATTACAGGCTACCCGCCCCCACACTGTGTTCATAACCAAGCTAGTCATCAACAGAGCAAAGCTACATGCTAGCAGCCACTAGATTGTATTTACCATGGTGTGTGAAGAAGATGTGGATCGTAACGTTAGTAGAACACATTCACATGCTGGGTAACTCATTATCTGGTGCTGTGGCTTGATCTGTCACCCCTGCCAAGGGAAGACCCTTCACCTGTTGCTAGTCACTCAGCAAAAATTACAAAGTCTCACTTTAAAGCCCCTATGTACAGGATATTAAAACTGATAAATTTAGATAAATGGATTGAAAACACCACAAGTACTGCACAAATTTTCGCCATTATTGTCTCATCTAACTTATGCGATTATGATCATGTGACAGGCGACATGATCATCTATAAATCTACAAAATGGGCTTTAAATATCACTGATTACTAATAATTTAGTTTTTTGTAATTAGCCTTAATTTACTAAATATTGCATACAATAACCCACCAAGGACATGTTACACAGATTCTGTTACACCCTTCTAAGTTTACAACTACTTACAGTAACATTTTAATTACCAATCAAGGATGATAATTAATGGCGCAAATCCAAATGTGCTAAAGCCCTGGATGATAGGGGTGTGACAATACACTTGATTTGATTTATTCTTGATTTGATTTATTCTTTCAAGCATGTAAAGACAGTTCATATATCAACACACATAATTTTACACATATCCAACAAATGCTAATCCAATATCAATTTGCTTATACCTAGTACATGCTTGAATGGAGTAGGAAGAAGTCAGACTTATCCAGTCCTACCCCATGACATCATCTTACCATCATTGGTTTGCAAGCAGTAAATGATTCACTTCTACCCACACACATATTATACTAAAAAAGGAATATAACAGTGTTAACATTCTTACATCACACAAGTAATATACTAAAGAATGGTTACAAAATGTACACCACACCCACAATGTTCCATCTAATTAATCACTGAGCCTGTTCTTGCATATATCTTGATTGACACATACCTTTATA